CTTCCTTAACAGTGTTTTTATAATAACTATCGTGAGACATACTAAATTAACTAAAAACACGGGTTTCTCAAGTGAATATACTGAGAAAAGCTCTACTAGTTTCGAACCACATAGGGGTTCTTCCTCATGAGCAGCGTGCTCGGTCGCGGTGATGTCGTGCAGATCACTGGCTAGCGTTGGCGCTGGCAGCGGTTTTTTTATAATTCAAATTACTTTATTTGTTGCTACTTGCGCATAGCTAGCTAGCTCAACGCGCCCTCTGCCGGACACCACGAGCGTTTGCTTCCAACTCCGGCGGCGGCGCGTCGGACGATGTTGACTCGCACGGTACGTTCACCAGCGCCGTGGGTAGTGGGTTCGAATCCAGGTTCGGCACAAAGTCAGTGTTACATATTACGCTTACTGTGTCACACTGCAGACTAGATTATTTGTACATACTATAGTCTCACTCTGTAAATATGAGTTATTTTATGACCAACATTTATATCTAAGTTATCATGTACCTCTTGTTAAGAAAGACTTCTTTAAAACAAATATTAAGGTATGTACGTCTTAATTATACATTAGTTTAAGGCATCGTTCACACCAAACGTCCGCCGCCGAGTGTGAGTATGCTCGGGAGTCAGCGTATGTGAACCACAATCACACCGTTAAGAGGCCTAAGAGCGTTCGAAAAATGTTTTCTTACTAATATTAAAGTCAAAGTCAAAGTCAAAGCATTTATTTCAATTAAACCATAGTTTGGTACTTTTGAAACGTCAACAAATACAAAATAAATAATAGTCTGTCAGTCAGTCCGTCAGTGAATTATTAATATTGTTAAATACAATAGGTACTACGCTTGTTAATCAATCACGTCCAAATTACTGAAAAGATTTGAATTAAAATTGGCACAGGCCAATTTGTCAAGACAATTCTAATCTAATCTATCTATTCTATCTCTGTAGATTTATATTATTTAATATCGCTTTGTAATACTCCGACTTCATAGAAGAAACAGGTTCTCTGTTTAACCTGTATGTATGTCTGTCCATGATTGTTTGTTTGTTCATGATTGACTAAACCTATTTTTCAGAAAAGTGTTTGTTACATTTGAAACAGGAAACAGTTTAGAAAAAAAGTGACTCAAATAGTTTTTTTAAATCAGTCTTAAGTCTGTCTGCGAATCCATCTTAAGCAAGTGTTACTTTTGCTTGTCGTAGTCGTAGTGGCCTGGAGGTTTAAGACGCCCGCTTTTCATGCCTGAGGGTGCGGGTTCGAAACCTACCAACGGCAAGTACCCATGTGAAGTTTTCGAGGTATGTACTTTCTAAGATTATTAAGACACCAATGACAAACGGTGAAGGAAAACATCGTCAGGAAACCTGGACTTATCATTTCTAATTATAAGATTGAAATTGCCAACCCGCATTGAGCAAGCGTGGTGATTAATGCTCAAACCTTCTCCGTATGAGAAGAGGCTTTGCTCAGCAGTGGGCATTGGCTGTTCATGTGCCGTTTGCTTAGTACAGGGTCAGACAAGCTGATTTGTTATTTATTAATATTATACTAGAGTATAAAATGGCTAGCCGCTACTTATACCGCCAGTGTGTCACTAGGGCTGCGGAAAAACAGTAATTTATCTTCGTCAGCCCGTTTTAAACTATGTTTGGTATACTTTGAATGGTAAATGATGCATGAGGCTTGAGGCCTGTTATTGATGTACTGGTTACGTTGTTAGCTTCTTCGAATATTGAAGTGAGGTTAACTTTCAATATTCTGACGAGAATTCCATTGGTTATGTATATTGGGTTGGTACAATATATATAAGTACGATATCATATACTTATGTACAATATATGTATAGTATATACCCACCAAATTTAATGACTTGAAAGTATGAAGTATCCAATATATATTAAGTACCCAATATATAAAGTAATATATATTACTAGCCTCGTTGCTCAAGTGGTCGCAAGTGCGACTGCCGGGTAAGAGCTCTCGGTTTCTATTCCCGGGTCGGGCAAAGTATTACTGGGTTTTTGCAAAAAATCTCAGTAGTAGCACGGAGTCTGGAATTGTGCCCGGTATATGGCAATAGGCTCACCCCCTATTACATGGGACTCATAACATGAATAGTGAAAGTGGATGTTACATTGTACAATACCGTAATGTACCTCTTCGCCTTCGGGGATAAACGGCGTGATGTTGTGTTATGTGTTATATTTATTTCAATTAAGTACACCAATAATAATTTAAAATTAATTACGTTTACTATAGCGGCTTTAATCGCCTCTTTTGAAGTCGGTTGATAATAAAGTCGGTAATCGGTCGGATATTGCTTGAGTTGGAGCCGAGCCGAAGCTGTGCTTGTTAGATTTGCGATGACCTTAAGTCATCAATATCACGAAGTAACGAAAAGACTACGAGCCAATAAAATAATATTATAATAGCAATCAGAGGTAAAGTAGGCAGAAACAAGGATTGGTAATAAAATATACGTAGTTGAACGAGTTCACTGATAGGCTCCTGTTTACGACTCTCTCGCGACATAAACCCATTGTATGGAGAGTAATTACCGAAAAATTTACTGTAGTATTTGTGTAATCTAATACTTTGTCCTTTTCTTTATTTTAGTTTACCTATATTATTTTGTATTATACAATTATTTGCATGTGTGTTCTATTTATTTCTATGTGTGCTTAACTGTCGAATAAATGCAATTCCTTTTTTCTTCTATTTTTATTTATTTATTTATATATGCTTTATTGTTGGGTGCTTTATGGTATGGTTGGTGCGGTGGCTGGGCAACCGGCTGCCGTGCAACGTGTCGCGGGTTCGATTCCCGCACGGAACAACACTTTGTGCGATCCACAAATTGTTGTTTCGGGTCTGGGTGTCATGTGTATGTGAACTTGTATGTTTGTAAACGCACCCACGACACTGGAGATAATCCTAGTGTGGGGCAACGTTTAAAAAAAAAATTGTACACATTTAAGTAGCTTAAAACAGACAATTCAAGTAAATATGCGTACAATGGGCGGTCTTATCACACAATGGTGATTTCTTCCAGACAACCTTTGGATGGAAATATTTGTAAGAAACCAGATAAGGGGTTTCTTTTTCTTGTCTAACAGTAAGGAAAGTTTGATTTAAATAAATTTAGTTATTTTATAAATATCACACAATGTCAGTAGATAAGTACACACGGCCACACATCAACCTATACAAAACCAGTTTATCCTGGTGTCGCGTCGCATCATCTTTCCGCACATTTAACGTTCAGTTTATACTGGTTATGTAAAGCTCGATGTGTAGCCGTGTGTACATCACATTACTTTAATACATTTCACTTGAAATATTTGTCATTAGTAAATAATTATTTATTATTGTGATCCTGGGAGTTACATCTAATTCCCCTATAATCTTCACTTGTGACTAATCAGGAGTCATTACAAAATATCATGCACGTCTAAAACGCGCAAAGGCCTGTTAAGTAAGTACTTACTGTTCAGAAATACCACCAGTGGGCGCCACATTCGAATTTGTCATCAAATATGGCGACCGGAGACCGGGAAAGTTCGTCTGGCCGTTATTTTTTTAATTCGACATATTAAACAGGCCAAGAAACAATGAATGTAATGCCACAAAGGACTGAAAACTGTTCGCGGCCGCAATTCAAATAAAATGGTTTGAAAGTCCACATTATGTTCGGATGCAGCGCTTTTAAAAAGTATTATTGCAATTTTGTAAACAAAATCTTAGCTTCAAAGAATAGAGTTTAGTTTTCAGTGGGTTTGCTTTTATATTTTATTTGCTGATATTTTAAACGTTTCTATTCCGTTGTCATCATTTGTGGAACTCGATCGGAACACTTTGGATACTTATTTGCTGCAACAATTGTTTAAAATTCTTGATTATGTTGCAATACAGTTTGTTCTTCGCTTTATTCCAATCCTTAACATATTTTTGTGTTAATAACTGAGTACAGATGATATTAATGGAGAATTGTCTACAAGAACACCATTTAATTAATCATTTAATTCAAGTATTAGTTGAACATAGTGCCCTGCCTATGCATAGTCAATAAGTGGTTAGTGTAGCAGTCTTTTATTTTTAATTATTGGAATAATATATACATCGTGACCAGCCCCGTTTCCTCGAAATGAATTTTGGGACGCAAAATTGTTCCGTATCTGAAACCACGTGAAAATTTTAATAGTCGAACCTATGCAATGACCGTTAAGACGGCTTAAGTGGTGTCGGTGTGCAGAACCGATACAGTTTCATACGTAACTTGCTAATTTTTGACGATGTACAGTCGAAAAAGCTTTAACCTTCAACCTTTTTGTTGAGGGCACAAAGTTTATTTTTACAGGTTCTATCATAGGCGATAGTTACTACATGCTTGATTAAATCAACTTGTGAAACTAGAGCTACAAAATAAAAAAATTAAACCTTAAAGTTCAGCATCGAACAAGTGAAACAAGTGAATTTATTTCTGCAAATACAAGGCAGCACTTTTACATGTTAGTACGAACCTTTACCTTTTACCAACAAACTAGACCTACAAGGCAACTACTTTACGTCCTTGTGATAGTAGTTTGTAAGCGAGGTCCAGTATAAAGATTGTAAAGGCCGATGAATCCCACTAAATTATGATGATAGGGCTCCAGAGATTCGGGATTACGGTCAGATAATGCTGCGGTCACTATTATCACGTTAAAGGTTGGTAGTCTTAGAAGGAAACCTTGTTATTCTTATTACTTTGTCAAGAAAATGTGGTGTCAGGGCTGTAGGGATCAGTTTCTAAGAAAATTTTAATAAAAAGTATGTTCCTACTTTTTACGGAAATTGCCAGAGAATTTTCACTTAAGTAAGATTAATTACCTCGGTGTAATCGATGTTCATACATAGAAAAAAATACCGGTCGAAATTGACAAGTAAACATAGAAATGGACACATGATTACAGACTTTGTAAATACTACTTACTAAAAACTGATAACGATGTAGCACTTACCTAAAAACAACACTAGTCCCCTCGCTATCTAAATGCACGGCGTCGTTCAGCGACCACTGCAGCAGCACCGACGTCCTACTGGCCAGCGGTCCACTCACCACCTTCGCCGGCAGATACCGTCTTCTCATTCGCAAACTCTTGGCAATCCTTCTGTACACCGACCTCTCATCTCTACTATAACTACGATACTTTGGTCTGAAGTAATATCCATCACTAAGGCTATCTACACTTTTTAAACTATAGTCTCCGAATGTCCTGTAGGTATCCCCGTATCGTTTGGTCTTTTTCATATGTTTTGAGCGCTCGGAACGCCTGTGTTTCGGTAGGAAATATGGAAGAGAATCATCTCTGCACGGCCGCTCGGCGAAGGTGGTTGGGGTGAAGTTGCCTATGATAAAGTTGTTCACTATGGAGTGAAGGACATAGTCGCGTAGCGTCAACTCCTCAAACTGAAGGTGAACTGGAAAGACAGAGAAAATATATGTTACACATTTATTTTATTAGTAAAGGTAAACATGAAGAAGTAACAAAAATCCGGTATTTTGTTATTATCGCGCAAATGAGAATTTATATCGAAAAGGTGTAAGCATCCAAGTTACATCGTTTTAGTATCAATAACTTTACTATTAAACTATTTATATTCCACAGGACTTTACTTTCTCTGCAACGTCTGATTATTTTTCTTCTAAAATCTCCGACCTTAGATCGCTCGTAATAAACTTTTTTCTATTTTTTGGGCACATTCTCTTTCTTTTGCTATGTGTTTCATTCTACTACTATTTAACAACGTTTTTGGCCTTCAATGACACTATCTGTCTTGGCGTATACAATAGACTCGCTACAAGCGCTCAAACAAACAAAGGCCTGCGCAAAAGTAATGGTCTATCGATTGACCTACAAATCCGAATACTTAAATCTACGGGACAAAGTACAAATAATTATTTATTGCCTGCACGGTTGGCGCAGTCGCTGGGCAACTGACTTCAACGTGTGATGGCTTCGATTCTATGGAACAATTCATTGTGTTGTCCACAAATTGTGTATCTTTCAGTATCTCATAGTAAAGTCTAGCACGATACAGTGAGGTTTCGGGGTTTCACACACAACTCCTAGCGAGGGAAAACGTTTTCTCTAGCAGTGTAAAAGTATTATCAGTTTACTTTAGTGACAAAAAATGGAATTTATGTGACTTCCTATTCTAATCAGAATAGTATGTTTACACAGACATCATTTTAACTATGGGGGAACCGTGCAACCGGAGTGATACCACGGCCTCACAGAAAATCGACGTAAAACAACATGCGTTGTGTTTTGTCGTGTGAGTGAGGTTACCAGACACCCAATTACCAAGAAACGTGAAATTGGAGTAGGTTACCTATAGCTTTGTGTTGTACGCGCCGTGATTTTGTTTAAATGCCTTGTTTATCATCACGTGTCTCACCTTTCACCCAAACCTGGAACTACGAGTATTGTGAATTGTGTATAGACGCCGGAATGAGTCGGCACCAAAAACGGCCACCGAAGGGCCCAATTTCCGGGCGGGTGAGCCTGACGGATGACCGATGTTTATCTTTTATGTAGATCCCTAGGAATATTTAGTCGACTGACATTTTCTATGGATAACGTTTCTACGGAAGATCATATTTGTCCCCTACGCATGGGTTTCTGACAAAAAATAAAGGAGGTCTTATCGCTTCGCTTTGTAACACACTTTTAATGTCGAGCTTAAAGACGTTGAAAAAAAGGTGGACACAGTCTCTTGTAACAAGGACTGTACCCGCTGGCTACTATAGATTTACACGCACAACACGCACACATTGAGACGAAGTACATCTGTTACTTAACATGGCCTGTAATTAGGTACGTTTCATACATTACGATGTTGCAAGTTAATTAACATTTTCATTTTCCCTGAATTTAGATACTTACGTTTAATTTACATAATTATTTTATTAATATGGTAATAATGTATCTATGGCAGAAAAATGGGTACTTGCCAACTAATCAAATTCAATACTTTTTTCGAACTGTCTATAACGAGAGTTTTCTATTAATTTTAGGTATACGAGATTGTGTATTTTTTGGGCGAGTTACGTTAGTATACGAGTTTTTTGGGCGATAATCAGTATACTTATTTCTTAAAAAAATGCTGGAAACATCCTAAAATTCCTTAAAATCCTTAAAATATACAACTCAAAATATAAAAAACCTCATGAGCAGCGAGCGCGGTCGCGGCGATGTCGCGCAGCCTACTGGTACTGATACAAATATGAGGATGAACCCCTCTGTGGCTCGAAACTAATACTACTAGTTTCTACTAGTAGTAGTAGTAGTAGTAGTACGACTACAGCTTTTCTCAGTATATTCACGTGAGTAACTCGCGATTTTAGTTAATTTATTATGTCTCACGACAGTTATTATAAAAATATAATTCCTGCCTCATTGGACGAGTGGTCGCAAGTGTGACTGCCGATGCAAGGGGTCTCGGGTTCGAATCTCGGGTTGGGCAAAATATTACTGGGTTTTTCAAAAAAAATTCAGTAGTAGCACGGAGTCTGGAATTGTGCCCGGTATAAGGCAATAGGCTCACCCCTATTACATCTCCCATGTTAGTCTTAACATAAATAGTGAAAAGTGAGTGTTGCATTGTAGAGGTATAGTAACATAATGTGCACCTCTGCCAACCCCTTCGGGGATAAAAGGCGTGATGTTATGTTATGTTATTTCTGTTTTGTGGCAAAACACGTGAGCCGTTATGTAACCAACTTACATACATAAAACATGATAGGTATAATACGATTCTAACGCATTACAATAATTAACTATCAATAAACAATTAGTAATCAAAATCTAATTAATCAGATACGTTTTTAATTAATTTTACTTGTAGTTGTGTTGAAGACGACGTGCTTACGGTAATATGCTATCGAGATTTATTTTATTACTAACGCTATGTAAGTAGATTGTATTTAAATTATATTTATTTAATGTTAATCCTGCAAATAATATAAATGCCTAAGTTTTTGAGGATGTATGTGTGTGAGCTTGTCTGTTTGTTACTCTTGCACGTCAAAATGGCTAGAGGAATCGGGATGAAATTTGAAACAGGGATAGATTATGGTCTGCAGTAATACATAGGGTACTTTTTATTCCACGGGAACGCGAGTGATATATGTATATATAGGGTACTTGGTAAGCCTGCTCTATATGTCGCGGAGAACCTAACGGGTTACCGGGGCTCCGGCTCGACGTGCAGGAGAAGGAACGGGGTGGTTTTTAGTCAGTAACAGTCTGACACTCCCTCCCGCCTCACCCAGGCGGGAGCAGTCATTCGATGATTTTCCCCCCTTAAAAAAAGCCTACTCTATTTGCCAACGCATGTATCTCCAGACATCATTCGCGAATGCGGCCGCCGTCGCATTTTTTTTTTGAAGGGGTAAAATCATCTAATTTCTTATCATCATCAGTTTAAACGGGAAACGAGTTCTTCATCAAACAGGTAGTTACCTACTTGAGTAAGCCGAAGACAGAATATTTAGTTTGTACGGAGTTCCAATTGCGAGTGCACGCGTGCTTTTTACGGCACGTCATCAGCAAAAACGCTGGATATGACGAATAATAATATGAGCACCCAGGAATCTTGTAGGTTTATCAAACTACGTCAAGCAGAATACTGTACCTGAAATCCTAAAAATAAATATCACAAAATGTTGTCAATAGGTACAATAATTGAGAATAAGCATAGGCTAAGCGACGTACAGACTTGTGGACAGCTCGTTTAAATTTATCTGCGGACGCCTCTCCAAGGTTCCGTGGATGCATTCGTTGAGATATAGACATACTGAATGCCTGAGACCACCATTCTATCTATACTTAAATACACTATAACAATTTGTCACTTCTCATCAGTTATGTTATGATTATGAGTCTATATAATAGGGGTTGAGCCAATTGCCGTATATCGGCAACAGGTCCAAACTTAGTAATGATACAGAGAGTTTAATCACACTTCGCCCAAGCAGAGCGATTGACAATATTTACCAAAATCGTCACTGACAGCAAGGTTTTGAGTTTGGGAATATAATTAGGTATTTTAATTGTTAACTTACGTTACGTATATTATTCATTAAAATGCTCTTTTCAGCATTATGTACACTTTCTGAACGACAAAGGAATGAAATATTCGATATAAACCCAGATGAAGTAATTGGTTCACACATCGATGACGAGCTGTATGAAGCGAGATTAAAACTTAATCAATTAACGTTTAATTTAAACGATACCAGCAAACAGTCACGAAACACATTCAACGTAAACGCGACTACAGAAAAATATCCCATGGCCTCCGTCCCACCAGAGATTGTTGCAACACAATCTAAGGCCATAAGGAGACGAATGAAAATACGTATGCTTAAAAAGCAACTAGAGAAAGTACTAACGACCGACTTACCGTCGATATCAGAGTATATTGACGTTGATGATCCAGCTGTTATAACTGAAAAATTTGACAAACTACTTGAAAAAAGCAGAAAGTCCGAGCCGAGTTTAACTCGTAGAGAAGTATATTTTTATGATGGACATGAAGAACCACCTGCCTACAAAGCTAAAACCAAAAGACTAATTTTTCGCATTGCAGAACACTTCGTATACTTAACACGATACAAGCTCGTTCTCTCTCAAGTCCTCAAGAAGAAGTATTCTGGTAATTTGCGGTACCGAATTGGATTCTTATTTGCGTTACTGAGACACTTGAAAAATATGCAGAAGTGGTTGCAATGGACTTATAAGCAATACCTCGTCAATACTGCCTTCCATGAAGTAAAGATTTTACAGAAAGTAATGCGCCTAGACATTGATATCAGAAATGTAGTTGATTTGATACAGAAGACGGAATACCAAAAGAATATGTTGTACGACCCCAACTTCTATGATATAAGTTTTGAAAAAAAGTAATATACCTTGTTTTATATGTATTTTCGGTATATCTATTATAGACATGGTATTTATATTCTGTTTAATTCAACGTAACATGACATCACGTCTTTTATCCCCTAAGGATAGGCAGAGGTGCACATTACGGCACTTAATGCCACTGTATCATGTAACACCCACTTTTCACTACCTATTCTATGTAATGAGTCCCATGTAGGGGGTGAGCCTATTGCCGTATACCGGGCACAATTCCAGACTTCGTGCTACTACTGAGATTTTTTTAAATCGCAATAAATTATAATTCAACAAAAAATAAACTATATATACTACATCTAATTTTTAACACAAATCTTGCATTATTGGTGTTACGTTTCATCATTGTATAATTATTATCTAGTAGTATTGGCAATCGCCTAATCCGTGGTCAAATGCTATAAAATGAGACACTCTCTTCTGTGAGTTTATTCGATTAATTCTATAATAACACAACCAAATTGATTAATAATAAAATTGAAGCAAACATGTTGTAGTGGCTTTGTTTCGGCATATACAGGTGTCCCTAAAATCCATATAGCACCAGATGATAGCAAAGTTAGAACAAGTCCTAGTAAAATATAAGACTGCACGGTTGGTGCGGTGGCTGGGCAACCGGCTATCGTACAACGTGTCGCGGGTTCGATTCCCGCACGAAACAACACTTTGTGTGATCCAGAAATTGTTGTTTCGGGTCTGGGTGTCATGTGTATATTTGTAAATGCACCCACGAGACAGGAGATAATCCTAGTGTGGGGCAACGTTTTTGAAAAAACAAAAAAGAAAAAAAAATATATAAATCATGTACTTTTTAAATTATACTGACTTGTGCATAAAGTAAACCTTAAATGTGACAGTAATTGAAGTCTTCTTCAAATCTCCACATTTTTAATATACAGCAACCTGAAGGGGCTCTTAATACTTAAGATAGAAAATTTTACTCAAAGAAAACATTCCTTTATTTTTGATAAGAAAGAAAACTGCATTCAAACATCTTAAGCATTAGGAGTAATTCCTCTTCAGGTGGCATTACAAAGTTCCACTCTGTATATGTAACTTTATAGCACGAGCATTAAAAACAAACGTCGCTTAGTTTATGGTATATGTACTCTGTGGTTGCAACGACACGTTGCGCAGAATGCTATTTTTTTTATCTTGCTGTACAAATGTATTTGGACTTGGCCTGGAAATGCAAATCTAGGTGGTGTATCAAATGGTGTAGGTGGAAGGGTTTCCATTCATAAGATTTGTAAGTAACATAACACACACCTTTTATCCCCGAAGAGGTAGGCAGAGGTGCACATTACGGCACTTAATGCCACTGTACAATGTAACACCCACTTTCCACTGTTTATGTTACGACTCCCATGTAATAAGGTTGAGCCTATTGCCATATACCGGACACAATTCCAGACTCTGTGCTACTACTGAGAGTTTTTGAAAACCCTAGTAATAATTTGCCCGACCCGGGAATGGAACCCGAGACCCCTTGCCCAGCAGTCCCACTTGCGACCGCTCGACTAACGAGGCAGATCGATTCGATTCAGAGTCTGTTAATTTAATATACGTCTCACAAAATTTGTAACACAAAAATGAGTAGCGTATTGTTACTGGCAACGTCTTCACCATTCAACTGTCACCTGGCCGCCGCTAATAACACCGCCTATAGAATTCCGACGGAGCGTGAGGGACGCCCACGTCTCGCCTTGGCATTTCAACCAGTCAGATGCCCTTTAAACACGACCGCCGCGGTGTTTCAGGGGCGAAAACCTCTGTTTGCCAACTTCAGCTTCTGTTTATGTTGTAAAATGTTTTCATGTTAGTTTTTGGGTAGTCCTATAAAGGTTTCTACTTTAGCGACGTTAGAAGTACCAGTTCTGTTGGAGTAAGAAAAAGATGATAATTATGTATCTAAAATTAATGTTGAGTAGAAAGGAATAGGAGTTAGAAATAATGAAGGAATATAACATTTTTATATTAACTATCGTGAGACATACAAAATTAATTCAAAATGCTGGGTTACTCACGTTCTGGAAACATCTTTACTAGTATCAATTGGGACCCTTCTACCAATAACTCCATAGATGTAATAAACTAGCTACTTTGGCGCAGTTTGTCCCGCTCTGTATAGTCTATAGCCGATAGAAGGACTATCCATATTAATGCAATTGAAAGATACATATACGTTTTAGAAATTCTTTCTTTGAAGTCGTTGAGTTAATAATATAGGTATTATAACCTTCTCATATGTGTAACAAACACTTTTCTGAAAACTGCATAAAAATGGGTTCAGCCAATCGGAAGATAAACGCGCAATAACATTCACACATACATACAGATCACATTGAGAACTTCCTTCTTTTTTGAAGTCGGTCAGAGAGGGACGGAATGACTTTCACGGTACTTTTGTAAATAACCGTAGGTTCGTGCCCTTATAATTCAATTTGTCCATTAGCGGACTAAATAATTTGGGTCTATCCCCATGAGGTCACTTGACGCGGCTTAACGTGTTTTCCATAAATAAATGTGTGTGTATGCCCGGGGTCTCTTCCAATAACTTGATGTGCGTAAGCGGCCATATTTGTTGTATTAATAAAGTTGTAAAAATGTCCTGGCGGTGAAAACGATAGACATTTACTACACTGTTTATAATCGTTAAATTTTGATTTCTTTTTATTTATTTTTTAATGACTTATGTTTACTTAATGTCACTAACATAGAAGGGCTATCTTCCACAAGCATACTCTTGCATATAAGGTTATTTCTAAAATTTTGTTTTTATATTTGTACGCACCTACGTAATAGTTGATGAAATAAAATTATTATATTCGACGTTTGGCAACCATCTCGCCTTGTGGTAAGCAATGATGTGGCCGACGATGGAGCACGCCTACCTATGAGCAACCTGTTCACTCGGGACTTGAAGACACCCAAGGTACATTTGTCGAGAAACAGATTCCGGCACGGAGTTCCAGTAACTGTTCACTCAAGGAAGCTTGACGCGAAACGTTTCGTGCGAATAGGTGGAATGTCCACCATATAAGGGTGGCGCCCTGCCGTTCGTCTGGTAGTACGGTGGTGACACGGACTGAGGGGCAAGGTTGTACAATTCCCACGCACACTCTCCGAAATGTATCCGTTGGTAGACCGAAAGGCTTGCGACTTTACGCCTGTGTTCGAGGCTTTGAAGCCGAGCCTCCACAAGCGTATCGTCATTGATGGACCTCTTTGCGCGCCTCTCGATGAATTCAAGTTGGGATTTAACCGAGCCATCCCAAAAGTGGGAGCGGTTCTCCATACACAACCGAACTGTACTTGGTAAAGAGTGAGCAACTGCTCCGATGTGAAGTACCGTCTCACCCTCGACAGGACACCCAACTTCCTACCAGCCAGTTGCACGTTTGACTCAATATACGAGCCAAAGTTGAGCGTCAGTGTTACGCTGAGAAGATCGAGATGGTCACTTGTCGGAATGGACTCATTTCGGAAAGTAGGAGTCAGTGAGAACCGACTCCGTTTTGCGGACACACGACCAGACACGCCTGGGTTTCATTGGCATTGAAGCTGACCAAGTTGGCGTCACCCCAATCGGAACTCGCTTACAAGTACAGTTTTAGGCGTTCTACCATGGACTCTCCCAGAGACTGGATTTGAGTTGCACTGGTTCGCGATTCGGACACATACTTTTTAACAACAGTGCTGTCATTTGCGTTTATTTACTACTAGCGACCCGCCCCGGCTTCGCACGGGTGCAATATGCATGATATAAACCTTCCTTAAGAATCACTCTATCTATTAAAAAAACCGCATCAAAATCCGTTGCGTAGTTTTAAAGATCTAAGCATACATACGGACATACAGCGAAAGCGACTTTGTTTTATACTATGTATTGATACAACCACAAAACTCCACGTTACCATCGATTTGTATGACAGAACGAAAAGTAGCGACAGAAAATTTTAAACGTAACGTTACATCATCACAAGTGGATAAGTATGTCTAATTACCGGAACAATGACACCGATAAGTTACTTAACGTCTGGGCTCCGCCATCATTACGCTAGGCATTTTGGAGACCTGCCAGAAACAGCAGCGACAGTTGCCAAATGGGGCAATACACATGGCTATAGTTTGTTTTGCTTTGTAGCTTTTATCTCTGTAATTGATGTGGTTGCTTCGTTTTATTTTAGCTCAGTTTGACTGTGACTTGGTAGCCAATTTTGTACTGTGTGTCAATGGTGAGTCTTTTACAAATATCGATTAGTGTTGAAATTTCGATTAATGTTGTATACCAACTTTTCTGAAAAATAGCCCATTTTTCATTACCTGCCTATAGAGTTCTTCATGTTTAAATCAATAGGGATGATGACAGGTTATGAAAATTAAAATCTAATTATTCCGTAAGTTAGGTAATGAAAAAATATTAGACACATATTTTTTTTATTTTGTTGTATAATACAATTATGCTTAGATATAACGAATCACAGTTTAGGAGTCATTTCTACGTATAAAATGTACATAGAAGTGACGCTACACGTCATTTTAAATCAATATATCGTCGAAAGTATTCGTTTCTGTAAAAAAAAGAAAAAATACGCGTGTAATGTTTTAAAATAATCTACCAGACGGACATCATAATAAAAATTAGTCATCTATCCCATTGATGATAGTTACTTTGTAAAGTTGAAAATCAAGAGAATATTTCTTCTGAGATTGATGACATAACTGTACGCGTTTCGTTGCTAGTCAGTTAACCAGTGAGCCTGGATGCCACTTTATAACTTAACAATAGGTATGAGTATTTTATTAAGTATAATTAATTCGATATGCTATAGAAAAAATGGCGTATTTTATTTATCTTTGACATTTTTACATATTTTACCGATTCGATTTAATATCGTTTTAGTTGTAATATATTATAGTACTACTTTGTTACGGTTGTAGGATTTGATAAATATGGAAAATAAATATTATTTAGTTGCAAAAGTATATTTATTATACTTCGTCACGCCTATTTTGAAACGAACTC